ACGTGGCTCATGTTTATAACAGTAATCTTGGGGGGTAGACTCATTTAAAATAATGTAATCATCAGGTTTTAGCCAGAAGAGAAACAATAATGTACAGTATGTGGAAAATTAGCCAGAAGAGAAACAATAGTGTACAGTATGTGGAAAATTATGTGTTTTTTTAACCTTAAACCGCATAAACACATTTCATTACACTAAATACACAAAATAATGTTCTTTTTAGCAACATCATATGACACCTTTAACATCCAGGTAGTCACGCCCACAGCGGGTAATGATTGGTCGATTGACAGGCTCAAATCTGATTGGCTAAAGAGTACGAGTGTCCCGCATTGGAGGAATCGCTGCCAGGAAAGTCTCAAAAATACACACAGAAATCCAAGGCGATTCACACATTCACTGTCCATGATGAACTTGTGAATTTTAAATACTCAACATTTTTGGTATTTAGTTGTACATCTGTGAATTGTGTTTTGCATTTGTGAAACGTATTTTATGAATGTATATTCTTATTTTGTGCATGTGAATTGGTTTTTGTATATATATATATATATATATATATTTCCGTGCACGTGAATTGGGTTTCATGCATGTGAATTGTGATACGCATGTGTGCATCGTGTCTTTTGCGTGATTTATTATTGAGTCTAATCTGCTTCCATAGAGGAGCACCAGAGGACTTTAAACGAACACACTCCAGTTTTAAAGTTGTCCCTTGTCTGCGCTTCGATTAGTTTTCTTCTATTTCCCACGTTCCCATCTTAAGCACCACACACGGATTTTGTCGCACACAGTTTGAACTCGGGATACTTGCTGCATGCTCTCTTTAACGTCCTCCACATTCCTATCCCAGCACTGTCGGGTCACTCACTTATTACTGATATCAACCCAAATTGGGTCAAATCAAGTCAGCTTCCTAACCCAACAGTCTCAACCGAATTACCAGCGTGTTTTATATGTGGGCTATAAAAAAGTAGCCTACATTTTTGCTAAATTGCTTGCAAATATAAGATTGTTGTTAGGTCATACATACCACGTAATAATATTAGAATAGGTAGCCTACCCCTTAGTTTCAAAATACTTACAGTAGAAATAATTTGTAATTTTACAGGTTATTATCCCTTTATTCCCCAAACTTAGCATATTATTCCCTTATACCTATACGGAGGTACTGAATAGGTACACTATAATTACAAAAGAGTTACGTTGTAAATTCTGTTTACTTACGCAGTAAGTTGCGGGTTGTAATCTAAAGCGTTAGCCATAAATTGTGTTGCAGAACACTTTTGGTGCTACTGAGATAGGATACTGGTAAGTTTAAAGGACAGGTTTAATGGTATGGTTTGGTTGAGTTGATTAGGGCCAATAGTGTAATTTGATGTAATTATAGAAATGAATTACAAATGCAAATTACATTCAGGTATTTTTTTGTAAATATAAGTACAATGCAAAAATGCGTGTTCACAATAAGTGCATTGGATCAAATGTTAGTACATAATAGTGGCACTCAATATAAAGTGGGTCAAAAGTGGGATAGGTTTGAAAAAAGCTCTAGAATCAATTGTTTTAAGATGGCCCTTTGACACGTTGTTGTTTAATGCAATCCAAGTATTCAAAGCCTTTGCGCTATTCACTGATTGTATCATGTTAACTGTAATGAACAGGGATATGACATACAGTATGTTTCTCACCATCAAATGTTGCTTCACTGATGAGAATCTATTAGACAAACTGTTGACTAGAGCTACTTTTTAATTCCCTTATAAAAAGTGCAGACATCAGTTTTATGATGTCTGACAGAACTAGTGTTGTTACTGCATAACAAAAACATATTTGTTAAAAGAAGCTGAAATAAAATATATGAAATGAAAACCTTAGGCTTAAAACAAGTGTACTACGGTACTATACAAAGTAAACTGATAAATGTACCACACTGCAGTGATTATGTTTTTCGAAATGAATACCATAACTACACCCAGTGCATGGAAAACCCATGAGGGTGCAATAAATCTGTGGACTTTTGACACTGGAATTCATGGCAGTATCATGATCATGTGGTGTGTAAGATCCATGAAAGCAGTCTAAGATACAGACAAACATAGACATTAAGAGCTTCCTGCATATATAGTTTTTTCAGATGGTGAACCTAAAACACAGAAACTGGAAATAACCATAAATTAACTTGATTCAGTAAACAGTACATATGCACAGGTAAAGTTTTATATAACTAAATGAACACTCAGAGGCCTAAGTTGGTTTTAACCACTGCTTTGTAAACGATTTATTCGCTGTTTCACATCATGAACAGCTATTTAAAATGGATACACGTTTAGAGTTACAATAAAAGCTTTCAGATCCCACTGGTCAGTGAGGAACACATGACAAGCAGCAGCTTACAGAATCACACAAGCATCATAAAACAGTATGATTCTTTCATAAAACAGTTTACATTTGAAGTCAAAAAGGCTACAAAGTATAAGGCTATTATAAATTATATTATTCATATAACAAGCAAAAAAAAGATATATTGAGTACCAATCTTTATTTTGTAGGTATTTATGTCCTGGGGCATGAATAGAGCTTCGAAAGCCAATGCATATAAAGAAAACACTGTTGCCGACACAGTGAACCCTGTATACTGAGTCTGATCCTGGATCACTTAAATGTCTTCTGAATTTGAACAGTCCACAGACATACATTATGCAGCAATGAACTCACATAATCTCGACAAATGAATACTAAATGTGTGACAAAAATTTATTGTGTGATAAAAATGGTTTAAAAAATGTAATTGGTGAAATTGGCTAAATTGGAATGTCAAACGCACCATTGTCTCCTGTGCTTGAGAAATGACACAGGCGAACATTAGGAGCCTTCAGCGATAGGGTTCTGACTTCTCTTGTTGAGGTACTCAAGAACAAAGACCTGCAGGATCTTGTTGAGGTTGCTGATGGAGGTTCGATCCAGGTTCTCCTCGTTGTCGTCAAAGGTGTGCCACACCGCAGGAAAAGGAGTCGAAATAAGATGAAGAATCCGGACCCCTAGGAGTGCAGAGAAATACATACATAAGGCCTAAATGCTTTTTATATGAACATTCATAAATCTCAGAGAGGGGTCTTTTACCTTGGTTGAGAAATGATATGTGGTCATCCAGAATGAGCCCCACATGCAGGCCAGGCCAGAAGTACTGAACCTCATTAGGGTGATTCTCTAGGTGACCGAGCGCGTGCAGCCGACGCTCTAGATAACACGAAAGAAAGTCTTCCTTTCAGCATCAGTTCATTTAGAATACTTCATTTGTTGCTTTTATAAAGGTCAAGTTTTTGTTTATGTTGTGCTAGTCAATATGGTGGCTGTCTTGGACTTATACTGATACCTAATAGTGTAGATGCAAAAGCAAGTGTTTTCAGTAAACAACAGAATATGTGAGAGGCTTCGTTCTTCACCGCTCAAATAGGGGTTACAGAGATAAATCCTGATTACTGAGGGAAAATTAATCATATGGAGATTCCTAAAAAAATATTACATTCTCAATTCAAGACATTTGTAGAGTCATGCAGAGACGACTGAACAGGAAATGTGCGATAGCACCTTAACAGCTCAATAAAGAAAATATCAATACTGAGTAACTTATATTTTACACATAATATTACTTTTAATAATAAATAAATATGAGTTTATTTTTGCTTCCCTTGTAAAAAAAACAAGTGTTCTTAAAGGGATAGTTCACCCAAAAATGCTAATTCTGTCATTAATTACTCACCCTCATGTCGTTCCAAACCCGCAAGACCTTCGTTCATCTTCGGAACACAATTTAAAGGGGTCCTATTATGATTTTTCACTTTTTTAATTTTAGCCAGTGTGTAGTGTGTATGTTTGGGCATAAAAAAGATCTAGAAAGTTACAAATCTCAAAGTCCACTCCAAAGGGAGATATTTCGAAAAATCCCTTTTCAAGAACTACAACGAACGGCTCGTTTGGACTACAGCGTTTATTTTCCGGGCTTTGTGATATCTATCACAAAGTGGCTCATTGGAATATCATTACAAATAATTCCCGCCTACGGAGATTCGAATGGTTGGGGGGTGGGGAGGGGCGAGGTTGTGGTTAGAACGCTTGGTTGAGTGAGTGCATCAGACGAGACGATGAAGAAGAAGTGCTGCTGCAGAGTTAGTGCATCAGAGAAAACCAAGAAGAAGAGCTGCTGTGCTATAGTGTCAAATTTTCGGCATGTCTAGAACAATTCTTACAAGAACAGCACGACGTAGCTGGGCGCCGCGGACAAGACGCCGAACGGCACCGCCGGTGTGCCTACACTCATAGAAAATAAAGTATTTGAATTTTAAAGACGTGGCATGACGCGACGCTGCGCTTCTTGTCCGGTGCGCAACCGCCTGAAACGCTGTTTTTTTTCAGCTCCGTGCCCAAACGTCTTTATTTGGGCTTCCGAAAGCGGATGATGTCAGGAAACAGTGGTTGCAATTTATTTTTTAACTCTGTCCCTGAGCATTATAACCCCAATTTGCTATTGTGTGCTGCACATTTTATTGAGGACAGCTTCCACAATACGAGGGAGTAAAGTGCCTGCCGGATTCGCCCAATAGTTTTTGTTGAAAGACGGAGCAAGGGGCGTGGCAGTACTGAAACACTGTCTAAGCTGTTCGCCAATCACAACGCACTGGGACAGCTAACCAATCACAACACATTTTGTTTTTCGGAAGGCAGACCTTCATCAAAGCCGGAACTAATCGAGCCGTTTGTGCCAGCCTGGGGAGAAAGGTATTTTAATAATGTAAATTATGTGAAAAATAATGTGTTTTGCGAACCACCAATCATGAGGGCATGTTCTAGTACACCCCCAAAACAAAATCAAGACTTTGTAAAAAAGCATAATAGGACCCCTTTAAGGCAAAATATATATGAAAACTTACCCGTAATCATTTACGCACTGGAAAAAACATATACAAAGTGGAATAAACAGTCCAGCCCACCTGATTTGTAACTCCGCTGCCGTTGACGCACCTAATTTTCTTCTTGTGCAAGATGGCGCCGCGTAAGGCAGCCACGATGTGGAGCTTTCCCTTTCTTTTGCTGTTTTTGTTTGTTTGTTCAGTCATTCTTTTACTATCAGTTTTACCAGAGACGAACTACTGGACATAAGGCAACACACACCAGACAAAATTTTTCCATTTTTGTGATTATTCAGACGCTTTGTTGGATGTTCTAGTCGGAGGGGCAGCAGTCCTGTTCAAATGTGTGCTTAGACGGAAATGAGGGAAGGGAGATGTTAAGGTAATAATGACAGAATTTTCATTTTGGGGTGAACTAACCCTTTAATTATAATGAATATATACACTTGTGGTGTACTTCAAACCTTAAAAAATGGCAAATTAAAAATTACCTTAACCTTAATGTATATTTTAAAACATTATGGTTTAATAATCTTTTGTCATGCTTCAACGAAATACACTTATTTTGATATGCTGACTAACACACTTAAGCATAAATGTCTAAACATAATATATGTATAGTACTGTCGCTTTTTATCCATTTAATGCGTCTTACTTTCTTCACATTTTTGAATGGTAGTGTATCATAATTTCCACAAACATTTGACCTGTAGCGTTTTGTCATCCATAACATTAACTAAATTTCTTTGGAAGTAAGAAAGAGAAACCAGAAGGAATAAAAAAAAAAAGATGTGACATAGGGAAATAGAGCAGAAAAATACTAGCCAATATTTTGTAGTCTTGAAAGCCATCGGGTCGTACTGGAGAACTGATTACCGAAGCGAGGATTTGAACCTCCAATCAAGTCCAGTAGAACAAACAAATCCTGGTGAGAAATTGAATGAATGAAGGACTTCACCCAGTTTTGTTGTTTGTCAATGTTTGCTTGCATTCATGTTCTTTAGCTTTACATTTACAATTCCCTCTCAGGAAAAAAAGGTACAAAAGCTGTCACTGTGGCAGTACCCTTTCAAAAATTACTGTACTAATATGTACATTTCAGGTACTAGTATGTACCTTTAAAATACCAATATGCACAATTTTGGTGTAAACAAGGTACAAAAGTGTACCATTTGAAAAGGTACCACCCCAGTGACAGCTTTTGTACCTTTTCCTGAGAGTGTACATGATTGTCCGTTTGCATATACAAGATAATTCAGGACTATATTCTATATTCAAATTATATAGCCATGGTGAATGGTGCATTTGCATCTAAAATATATCTGCTGATACCGCAGCAGGAAGATAGCTGTGTAAGAGAAATCTTTCTTCAGTGAAAAGAAAAATCTTATGAGGAAGTACAGATGTAATCTGAGAGCTACAGCAGAAGGAAAGCCTGTCAGTGAATAACAAATTAAATATTAGTGTGTTCCGTACACGAAAGTTCCAGAAATCTTATAACACTGCGCATAAGTCATATGGGCCACTTTAACAGTACCTGGGACAGACGATATATCAAAATATATAATTTAGCTTTTCAAGGAAGAAAGTGAGCATATAGATTTGGAACAACATAAGAATGAGTCAGTGAATAAGAATAGAATAAATGAATAATAACAGGGAAAAAAATTCTAACAATAAGTAGGATACAGTGAGTGATTTTTAGATTAGTCTGGCTGTATGTCAACTATATTTATGTATTAATCATTGTTTGTGAGAGAACTGTACAATGCCGTCGAGCTGGCTGGTGTTGGTGGCTTCCGGTGGATGTGCTGTTGTCGCCATTTTGTGGGCTAAATGACGGGAGCCGTACAGAGAGTCTTCAGAGGTCCACTGGAAAAGTGCCTCCTCTCCATCAAAGAAGAGGAGCTGAAGTGACACGTCTGACCCAGAATCCTGTGAGAAGGAGCAAACACATGCTGCCATCTACCTGTGACACTACAGAATACAGCATAACCATGATTGGCACAAATTAAAGTTCAGCTACCAACTGGAAAAGAGAGATTGGTAATGGTACACTCTAAAAAATGCTGGGTTAAATACAACCCAGTGCTGGGTAAAATAGGGTCAAACCCAGTAATTGGGCTGTTTTGACCCAGCGGTTGGGTTAAATGTTTAACCCAACCTTCTGGGTAGTAACCCAACCGCTGGGTCAAAACAACTCAATTGCTGGGTTTGTCCCTATTTTACCCAGCACTGTGTATGTTACCCAGCACTGGGTTGTATTTAACCCATAATTTTTTAGATTGTACAAGATAACTATTAACAAAACAACAATTTAGTACAATAAAGCTTTCAACTGTTTTCTCCCTTTCCTGATCATCATCTCCGATAACTCTTAACTACCGGCATTTCAACGGCTCGCCTGATTACGCCGAAGCTAATTTATTTGCAACTTCTGTTTTAGGAAGAACAATTTAGAAAACTGACCACTTTACATGAACACAGAACATGACAGAAAAAAAAAAGAAAAGAAATAAAGTGGTTAGGGATAAAAAAAAAATCACCTCAACCTAGCAACCCCCACTGACATTATGTCTTCACAACAGTTTTAATATAGATTTGATCTCATTAACAACCGAGGCTCATTACAAAAATGCGCCTGTGGTGACATTTCTTTACATGACACTTTAAAGCATAATGTTAATGCTCGGTCACAAATATTATGCACCGCCTACAATAAACCCAACTCTAAACCTAAATATTGTTAACAATGTAATGTAAATGTAAGATAAAAATGCATTTGATGAAGCAACCATGCTATTTTAGCTTGCTTTGAGGTTTTTTATCGTGACTCATGGGACTCATGCTCCACATCGCTGTACCAGGTGAGCTACCAAGCAAGCTTACTATATGTCAGAGAAGCCATATGGAGCTGGTTATGTGATGTAAATGTTAAAATGTATTCATTAAAGGAACACTTCACTATTTTTGAAAATAGGCTCATTTTCCGACTCCCCTAGAGTTAAACAGTTGAGTTTTACCGTTTTCGAATCCATTCAGCCGATCTCCAGGTGTGGCGGTAGCACTTTTAGCTGTAGCTTAGCATAGATCATTGAATCTGATTAGACCGTTAGCATCTCGCTCAAAAATGACCAAAGAGTTTCGATATTTTTCCTATTTAAAACTTGACTCTTCTGTAGTTACATCGTGTACTAAGACCGACGGAAAATGAAAAGTTGTGATTTTCTAGGCCGATATGGCTAGGAACTATACTCTCATTCCAGCGTAATAATCAAGGAACTTTGCTGCCGTACAATGGGTGCAGCAGGCGCAATGATATTACGCAGCGCCTGAAAATAGGCTAACTTCCGTCAACATAACCAACTACACAAACTTAGTGCCGGTCACGTTGGAAGTTACATAGCTGGGGACTATTTTCAGGCGCTGCGTAATATCATTGCGAACGGTATAATCAGATTCAATGATCTATACTAAGCTACAGCTAAAAGTGCTACCGCCAGACCCGGAGATCGGCTGAATGGATTTGAAAACGGTAAAACTCAACTGTTTAACTCTAGGGGAGTTGGAAAATGAGCCTATTTTCAAAAATAGTGGCGTGTTCCTTTAAATGCATCGAAGTCATTAAAGTCTTTATTTGTTAATAATCTGCCCCTGTAATCATAATTTATATGCAATAAAAGTTGTTACCGTTTTACTGCTACCAGTGTTCAACTGCAAATAGGTTTTGCAAAAGTGTAGGTAGAGGCATGTTTTTCCAATTAGCCTATATTTCTCCTTAATCTACTCTACTCATAATCTCTTTAATTTCATGTACCATGTTAAAACACAATGCTCATGGTTATGTCTGTAGCGGCAGTGCTTTAACAGGGAATATATTTCTAAAAATTTCCCAAGGAACGTTTTACTGTGAAAAAAGTTGCACAGCTAAAGTAAAGCACATCTGCTAAAAATATTAAAACTAAAAACAAATATATGAAATTATATGTTCCTGTGTACATTGCCATACCTTCAGGGTCTTTAGTTCGTCATCTTGGGCTCTTGCCAGTTCCAAAATCATAGAGCAGGGAACAGCAGAATCTGTTGCTCCAAGAAACTCACGGCCGTCCCACTGTGGAGGGTAGTATTTGGAGTCAAAGTGGCAGGCCAGAACCAACTGACGTTTGGCCTCAGGGTTGAGAGTTGCAATTATGTTGGTAAAGGGAAGATGGCCGTAAGGCGTATGAGCATAGAAGGCATCCTCTGTCACTTCCCATCCCGCTTTCATCGAGCCGAGGGTTGATTTAATATGCTAAAGAGAGAGAAACTCAGACACCGAACACTGTCACATTTAACACTTGCTTTCATACACAAACACACACTGACCTGCTGAACGTGTTGGCTTCCAGTTGAACCAGGATAGCGCACAACAAGCATGGGCTTCAGGTCTTTCTGCCACATCCGGTCCAGATCGGTACGAGATACAACACTGCTCAGTTCACTGGAGCTCAGTGTGGTTGCTTCATGTTTCAGCTGAAGTGAAAAGGAATAAAAACCTTTATTCATTCATTTATTCCACAGTGGTGTATTCATACTTTTGTGTCACAAGTCTTGAGTCCTAGTTAACATGCTCCTGGGGCCATGACTAGACCAAGACCATGTCCATGTCCATATTTTCAAAGTCTTTGTCTTGTCATGGACTCGGGAGCATGAGGACTCAACCTTCTTCTAGTCTCTGTCTTGACTTGGACGCAACTGAGCTGGTCTCCACTACAACACTGCTTTGTGTATGTTTGTTTACATTTACTGTATTTTACAATCCCTCTCTTTAAGTTCTTAGTAATTGTTAAGTCTCTTTGATTGCCTTTAGTAATCAAATTGAAAAAAAAAGCCTTCAACTTAAATTGATTAAACTGAGCTCAATCCAAATGAAATTCTGATCGAATTGAAAAGAGTGGTGTAGAAATAATCATATGAATAGGAACAAAAATGAGGGGATATTTACACATCACTGTTTTGAACTAAAAACAGAAAGCTTCAGCATTTTGGCCATTCTTTTACAAGACAACAGCATTTTGGGGGCCTGAAAACACAAACTTTTGAAAATGGGCTCGAAAATGCAAGTTTTTGAACAGGATACCATTATTTTCGAACCCGTCTCCATTTAAACTACAAAAATGCAATGATTATCGTGTAAACATACCCTTAGTATGAAAACTTTGAATCTTCTCAGCTGGATTCAAAAATACTTTGCCCACATGTTCTATGCTTAATGCATGTTTACCAGTCTTTTTATAATAAGATCTCTGTTTAGATACAGTTTACATCTTACATTGGTTTATGTCTTACGAACTTGTCAGTAGAGCAGACTGAATATTTACTAAATATCTGCAAAAAAAAAAAAGCTTTTCTGACATATTTAAGATATTTAAGATATTAGACAGTTATGTAACTAAGGTAAATGAAAATGTGAATCGGATTGCAACGTTTCTGAATCTGAAACTGGATTTCATTCATTCGGATTGACAAAAATTAGTGCATGTAAACATGCCTACTGTTGTTACAAATTTCAGCACAGCTCTGATTTGCCTGTAGGTAATCGCAGTTATGATTGTGTGCATGATGGTTAGTCTGATATTGCTTTAAAGGAAGAGAAAATTAAATTTTCAAAATTCTACCTGTGACACTACAGAATACAGCATAAAAATGAAAATTCTGTCATTAATTACTCACCCTCATGTCGTTCTATAACAGTAAGACCTCTGTTCATCTTCAGAACACAAATGAAGGTATTTTTGATGAATTCTGAGAGCTCTCTGACCCAGCAATGTAATTACCACAATCAAGGTCCAGAAACGTAGCAAGGAGATCGGTAAAATAATCCATGTGACATCAGGGGTTCAACCATAATTTTACGAAGCTATGAGAATACTTTTTGTATGCAAAGAAAACAAAAATAACGACTTTATTCAACAATTAGTCTCATCCTGGTGCCTTTTTGGAGAGTATCCACTGAACGTAAACAGCGTATGCAATTCTGTGTCAGCTGCGTCACGCGGATACGTTGTTTTCGTTCAAATCAAAGCGTAAACAATGTAGAAAATGCGTGACGCAGCTGACACAGAATAACATACGCTGTTTACGTTCAGTGGATATTCTCCTAAATGGCACCAGGGTGACGCGGAGGAGACCAATTTTTGAATAAAGTCGTTATTTTTGTTTACGTTGCTTACAAAAAGTATTCTCATAGCTTGCTACGTTTCAGAATTCATCAAAAATATCTTAAATTGTGTTCCGAAGATGAGCAGAGGTTTTACGGGTTTAGAACGACATGAGGGTGAGTAATTAATGACAGAATTTTCATTTTTGGGTGAACTAACCCTTTAATATTGCTTTAAGAAACCAGTTGTTTTGTGCATTTTTGCTTTGCCAAAATAGGTCCAGAGCAGAATAAACCATTGCACCCCTGAGCAACACAGAGTAGTGGTGTGTCATTCTTGAATGAATTAGTGTTCCGAAAAAAACAGACTGAGTGAATCATTCAATGACTCATTCACATACTCACTTGCCACCACCTAATGGCTTAACTATGTAAAATCCTCTCTACTAATTCAGACTGCATCCTTATGTCTCACACGGGACGAAGAGGATTAAGTAAGTGAAGTAATTCATAGACTGTAGATATATAATTAGTGCACTCATCACTCTTGTAACATTGGTCTGACAATCAAATTTGACATAAACATCAACATTTGAGCAGCCAGTCGGCGCCAATAGCCTCATGATTAGTGTGTCGATCCCGCTCCCCTCTCTCCACCCAGTGTTTTCCTGTTATCTCTCTACTGTCCTATCTAAATAAAAAAGCATTTGGGCAGCAATTCACTTATATGGACTGATTGATTATTTTATTTTAGAGATTGATTATTTTTCTAATAAATCTTTGTGTTAATTTTAAAGGGGTCATATGATGCTGCTAAAAAGAACATTATTTTGTGTATTTGGTGTAATGAAATGTGTTTATGCGGTTTAAGGTTAAAAAAACACATTATTTTCCACATACTGTACATTATTGTTTCTCCTCTATGCCCCGCCTTTTCCAGGCATGACGAAGCAGATATCGTCCTCTTTTGGAAGGCCAAACAAAGTAGTTTCGCTTTCACACCGAATCACACAGCGCCTTCACGACATGGCGGCGGCGGCAACAATACTACAGCGAGAATAAAAGTTACGCCTTCTTTCTTTGCGTGAACATTTGGGCGGCGTTATGCAAATCTTCCCACATAGTGATGTAGACATGTGGGGGCGTGTTAGAACGAGCCGTTTTAGGTAGGTGTGGCTGACTCTTAACTTTTATAAAGAATATCTCTTTGGATTTGAGACTTTAGTCTTTGCAACTTTACAGATATTCTTTATGCACCAAGAGCTTGTAACACTCCAAAGAGAAAGGAAAAATTGAAATCGCATCATATGACCCCTTTAAGAAAGAAGGTCATATACATCTGGAACGGTATATATGTTGAGGGAATGAGAGAATTTTCATTTTTTGGGGCTGACTACCCCTTTAAGATGGCTAAGACATCTTTAATGAAATTGATTTGTGATGTTCTTTACTCATAATGAATCATAGCGAAAAGTCTGCTCTTATTCCATTTACAAAGCTGAAGAAAATACCTGACTTGCAATACATGCAATTCTAATTCAGTGACTCCTATTACAGTCAGACAAACATGATGATGATTATACTCTTGCTTAATGGTAATGTTGCAACCAAACTACAGTCTTGTTTGAATGAGAAATTATACACTGCATATGTCTAGAGGATAATTATGTGTTCAAACTACACGGCAACAGAAGGTTCTGAAATGAGAGGGAAACACAGCTGGAGGATATTCAGAGAGGATATTTGAAAAGTCTGAAAAGCTTTTGATTTTCTTTTCTTTCATGAATAACAATTTCAAGATGGATAGAAGACAGCTAATCAAACTACTTCTGCTTTAAACATGACATTGATCTTCTGAAGACAATTTGTTTTTTTGTATGTTCGCCCTCAAAGTTCAGTTCTTGTGCTGTGATTATTGATTCTGCTTGTGTTGTTTAAGCCACTTAATGACTGTGGCTTGATATGAACAACACAGAAGAGAAGCCCTCTGACTTTTTATTTATTTATTTATATTCATGTCACGTTGAAGACAACAGTCAAAAGTAAACATGGTGGTGAAAAATAAAACGATAAAAGATTCTATTCCACAATGTGACCTGTAAGATTGCTGTATACATTTAATAATCTACAGTCTGTTCAAAATATAACTTGTCATTTTCAGTTTTCTGATAACATGCTTAAAATCTGTTTTAGTACAACAGTAGCATCATACAAATATGGATAAGACATTTCCCCAAAATGCAGATCTTAAGAACAGAACAAAGGGAATGAATTCTAAATAGAGAAAATCTATAAATATTAAGATCTCCTACTGGTGGATCAGTGACAGGGATCCTGCTCCCATAGCAACTAGACAATGGGAGACAGACTGAGCATCATGAATGAAGCTTACTTTCCTCAGTCAGTTTAAGTGATCACTGTCACGCATAAATTGAAAAATTGGACATATAATAAGTAATGAATGAATGCATGAATAAAAAAAATAAAATTATTACAATTATTATATTTGTATTAGATTATGCATTAAAAATAGACAAGACATTTTAAGGCAGACACACTCTCTTTCATGAGAAGCATAATAAAATATGTTGAATTCACGACCCCGAAAAATAAATGATAATAAACACAACATTGCTCAGAAGCTAGTAGTCTAAGCCACTTCTCTTAACAAGCAAGGGCTTTAAAAGATGCAAAACAAAGCATCAGCTGTGTAAAGGTTTTTACCTTTTCCTCCTGCCACGGAACAGTGTCGCAGCTCGTCAGTGCCGCTAGGATGCCAATCAAAGCCAGCAGACCCGTGGTCCAGCGTCGTTCGGCCATCTCCTCCGTTCTGTCCGCACGACGCTCTCCCAGACTCCTGCCAACTCGGATCACGTGAGAGAACGATTTACAAGTCCTACTATGACGACGGCCTGACTCATGAATATTAACAACATGCCGTGACGCTCTGAGAAATGATTTGCTGAAAGACAGGCATTGCTAAGTGTCTCATGAATATTAACCAGTCGACAAGACAGGGCGCTCAAGGAAAGTTATCAAGCAACGTCAGCAAGGCTTTATTAATATTCATGACTAACCACTTCGACTCGGCACAAAGAGCCAGCTGGTTGCCAGCAAGAGAGTTCTTTCTTCGCCTCACTTTCCTATCCTTAAATAAACAAATAATTTATATCATACTGAGTTGCTTTCTGTGTACTAATGGGTGCCATTAATATTCAAAGTAAAAATAATAATAATAATTAAAAAGAAAAATACATAAACATTTATAAGACCATAACTGGTAGATTTCTAGATACGGCTTAAAGTGCCAGTTAAAGCAAAAATGGAATTCGAATCTGTTTATTTTAGTGATAAACATTAATTGATACTAATATTAATGTTTTATTGTTTTAACTTTATAGTCATAACTGCATTTTTAAAAGAATGTTAGTATGTTAGTATCTTTTTTTTGTCACCCATAATCGATGTATACAACACTAACTGTAGGGGACAGTTCATTTGAAGCAAAATATACAGGGTTAAAAGAGCAATTGTTATCTCAGTGACTCATTGACTTATTCAACTGTCTGCAGCCATCGCGTTACAAATCGAGATTCTTAAAGGGGTCATATGATGAGTTTTCAAGTTTTCCTTTCTCTTTGGAGTGTTACAAGCTCTTGGTGCATAAAGACGATCTGTAAAGTTGCAAAGTCTCAAATCCAAAGAGATATTCTTTATAAAAGTTAAGAGTCAACCACGCCTACCTAAAACGGCTCGTTCTAACACGCCCCCACATGTCTACATCACTATGTGGGAAGATTTGCATAACGCCGCCCAAATGTTCAAGCAAAGAAAGAAGGCGTAACTTTTATTCTCGCTGTAGTATTGTTGTTTCCGCTGCCATGTCGTAAAGACGCTGCGTACTTCGTTGTGAAAGCAAAACTACTTTGTTTGGTCTTCCAAAAGAGGACGATATCTGCTTCATCATGCCTGGAGCTGATCCGTGCTGGTCGCTGAGGAAATACTACAACTTTGCACTGTCGATCTCCGGATCGGCTTTTAACCGTGGACGAAGCGGAGTCCAGCCCGGAGTTGTCACATGTCCTTCCGGACGCTCCTTTGTCCCGGAGTCGTCACATGCCCTTCCGGACCTCCTTTGTCGAAATCGCCGGCTGCGCCGTTCTCAAGCCCACCCGCCTCTGCTCACTCTAACCCTCCCGCTGTTCCTCACGCTAGCCCCTGGCCTCTGCTCAATGTAGGCCGCCGCCGCTCACTCTAACCCTCCGGCCGTTCCTCACTCTAGCCGCCAGCCTCTCCTCACTGTAGGCCGCCGTGTGTGATGCTGTTTCGTTGTGAAAGCGAAACTACTTTGTTTGGCCTTCAAGAATGTTGCATAATTTTAATATTCAGTATTTTTTTTTTTCAAAATAAACGTAATGACATCGAACGAGTGGGTTCTACAATCTATATTATCTCTGTTTAAAAAAAAAAAAAATCTCTGTTTTAATCACGTGGTATGTGCGCTACACGTGGTCACGCACGCGTGCAAACCCGGAAGTCTTCTGCAGGGAGATTTCTACTAGTTCTGTTTGTGGTGTTCTTTTAGACGTTATACTCACAATTGCCAGTCACAAGAACTGCTTGTTAATAATAATTTGGCATCGAGGTGATTTTTCGTGATGGATGATACAGTTTTAAGTTTGAAAACACAGCTGTTGGAAAGAGAGAGAGAGATTGTAGCTTTGAAGAAGAAACTTGTTCAATTGGAGAAGGTCTGCAATCGTTATTCTATTCACTCTGTGCAAATTCTGTGTAAAAAAAAACAGATGTACCTTTGTGTGTTTCTTTAGCATTATGGTATTTAATAATTTTAACAAGTAGTATTTGATTGCCAGCTATTATGTGTTATTGTATGAAGAGAAAATGAAAACGTCCCGCAAATGTACGCATCATTTTATTTTCTAAAGACAAACAAAACAGTAACTAAGTAACTTTCTTCATGAGTGTTGTTTTTAGTCTGTCCCCAGCTCTGAGTTTCTAACTTCTCATTTTATTTTATTTTTAGCAAATGCATTTAACGCTAGTTTATAAAAAGAAATCTAAAGAATAAATGAATGGATGAATGAACAAACAAACAAATAAATATCTTTAGCTCTCTCTTTTTTTAAGGTTTAGGCTGAATAGTATATATTTTTAAAAGACTGAGCGAATGATTTTTCAATGTTAAACCTGTTATAATGATTATATAGTAAACAATTTATAATAAAAAAAGTACATGTTTGTAGAAATATCTGAAATAAATCCTACACTGTAGTTTCTTGACCTTAAACGTAAGGATTGTCAACTCCAGCCCTGTTACAGTTACCTTTCTGAATTCATACCATATATTGGAATATATTACATTTAAAAACAAATAATGGCAACGTACCGTATTTGTCTAACAGAATCATCTTTTCATAACGGAAGGGTATCTTTGTCATGGAATGATATACAGTGGATGATTATGGTTAATTACTGTATATAGGATCCCTTGCCAGAACAGAGCATTTCTTGTCTGAAAACTGAAAACGTTTTTTTTTACCCCCCAGGGAAACTCAGTATTAACAGAGTTACAGGAGAAAGTTATCAATCTTTCACCGCTGAAATCAAACACAACGCTGAACAATGATGACATCATGAGATATAGCAGACAGCTTCTCCTGCCAGAACTGGGTGTTAAAGGTTAAACAATGATTTGGATTTAACAGTAATTATGAATCTTTTCTCTATTTTTTTCCTTTTCTTTTCCTTTCCGAATGCATTGTAAAAAACTATTTTCTTTTCTCCGCAGGTCAGGTTGCCATAAGTAATATATCTGTTCTGGTTGTGGGATGTGGAGGTTTAGGTTGTCCTGTTGCACAGTATCTCGCTGCAGCTGGAGTAGGTAAAGTGACCGTGTCTGTTTCATATGTACAAAGTGCTGTTCAATATATGAGTTTATCTGTAAGTGTAAGTATATATATATATATATATGTATATATATATATATTAGTGCTGTCAAACGATTAATTGCGATTAATCGCATCCAAAATAAAAGTTTTTGTTTACATAATATATGTGTGTGTACTGTTTATATTTATTAGATATAAATACACATACAGTATATATAGAAAATATTTACATGTATATATTTATATTCATATAATTTATATTATATATATATAAAGATATTTAATATATAAACAACAATAAATAAACAATAAATTTTTCTGAAATATATACATGCATGTGTGTGTATTTATATGTACGTAATATACACAGTACACACACATACGTATTATGTAAACAAAAACTTTTATTTGGGAAGCGATTAATCGTTTGACAGCACTAATATATATATATATACACACACAGTGGGTACGGAAAGTATTCAGACCCCCTTTAAATTGATTCAGAAGGGACAGGAAATACTTTTCTATTTCAACTAAATGCTGTTCATTTTAACTTTCAATTCATCAAAGAATCCTGAAAAAAAGGATCACAGTTTCCACAAAATGATTAAGCAGCAAAAAAAAAATTCAGCGTTGATAATAATAATGATAATAATACATTTTAAAATATATACAAATATAAAACAGGTATTTTAAATCGTAATTTCATGATATTACTGTTTTTATTGTATTTTTGATTGAATAAATGTAGCCTCTGGTGAGCAGAAGAGACTTATTTCAGAAACATTACTAACTCCAAACCTTTGAATGGTAGTTTATAACAAATATGCATATAATAAAGAGTAGTAATCATTTTTTATTATTATTTTTTTTTTGCATTTACAGTGGGTGCGGAAAGTATTCAGACCCCCTTCAATTTTTCACTCTTTGTTATATTGCAGCCATTTGCTAAAATCATTTAAGTTAATTTTTTTTCCTCATTAATGTACAGACAGTACCCCATGGTCTGAATACTTTCCGTACCCACTGTACATACTAACTTAGAAGAAATGCATTTGAAAACCATAGTTACCAGTCTAAATGCTAAAGCAGAAGAGGCTGAATCTGCCATTCATAATGGGTGCCATGAAGACTTTGTTATATGTCATTCTCATTCTCAGGGCCTCATGCAAATACATGCCACAGCTGTAACTGTGTAAATGTTAATGTAGTGTGTGTTTTCAGGACGTTTGGGTCTGTTGGACTATGATGTGGTGGAGCTGAGTAACCTGCACAGACAGGTGCTTCATACAGAACTGACTCAAGGTCAGCCTAAAGCCCTGTCTGCCGCCCAGGCCATCAGCAGGTACTATCTTACTCACTCACAAAATCCCAATAAAGCAGAGGTGAACAAATGAGAGATGACTGGTTGTGATCTCTTCCAGGTTGAACTCCACAGTTCAGTGTGTTCCATATCACCTCCAGCTCTCCAGAGAGAATGCCATACCACTCATTCAACAGTATCCACTCTCACTAATTGCTACTCATAGGTTAATCTTGAACTTTCGAAAGTCCTCTACACTGCAAAACCTATTTGTCACCTTGACTTTGCATCCTCATATATGACATTGTGGCAGACTGTTCAGACAACGTTCCTACACGCTACCTTGTGAATGATGCCTGTGTTCTGACCGGCAAGCCTTTAGTGTCAGCGAGTGCTTTACGAATGGAAGGACAGGTGAGGTGTTTTTTATTTTATTTTATTTTTTATATCTGAATCAAACCAGCAGCCAGTGTGCTCTGTGTTGATATTTAAAGTTTTTAATTTACAGAGGCTCCCAACCATTTGGATACTCTTAGACATTCTTTTAAAGGGATAGTTCAGCCAAAAATCTCAATTTTGTCATCTACTCACCCTCGAGGTGTTCCAAACCTTTTTTTTCTCCTGTGAAAAATAACATCCAAACATTTGTCAAAATATTGTTATG